ACACACACACACACACACACACACACACACACACACACACACACACACTTGGAACACACTTTTTGGAATGCACAGAATTTGTAAGTAACTTCATAAAACAGCTCATATGCTGTAGACAGTCCTTGGAAAAAGGCTACTCCAGTAGAATTTAAGTTCAGTAAGACAGGGATTATTTTGCATTTCTTTGTGACCCTAGCATGAAGTGGGATCCCTTGCACATAGTAGGTGTTTCCAGGGCTTCTTCTGCCACCTGACTCTCTGTATACCCTGCTTGCCTTGGGGTGGCAACATTTTTTTAGCAGAAAGAATACCATGTTTGGAGTTGGATGACTAAGATTTGAATGTTGGTTCTGGAATTCTATATGAGTGTAGAATGGGTCTGATTTTCCTCCCCTGTAAAATGAACTGGACTAGCTGATCTCTAAGGTGCCTTCTAGCTCTAAGTCCCTGTAGAATGTAAAAGACTTTTGAATTTGTCTTTGAATTCCCAGTGATGGCTCAGTGCACAGCAGGTAATCAACAAATGTATGCTGAATTAAATCTTATGACTTCTTGTTTGTTTCCCCTGGTGCTGCCAGCCTTCCAGCTGGCAAGAAGTCCAAGGGATCTCTGCGTAGCCCTAGTAGGAAATATCTATAAAGCCAACCCATCTCTGATTTATTGCAAGGTTCAAGTTGAAAAGCAAGAGACGATTTAAATAATAAATGAGTATGGGAAAAGGAATGCAAAGAAATGTGAAAAAACCAATAATGCCAACACAAACTATCAAGAATGGAGCATTTGGAAATATTGGCGTGCTCAAAAAGTGGCCTGAAAGCAAACAGCTGGACAGAGTTCAAAGTCAAAACTAAAAAACAATCAAACCAGGTCTATAGAGATAGGCTTTCTTAAGCTCCATTTGATAAACCAGATTAATTTAAAGGTAAAAACAGGCTAGGTAAAAAAGAAAATTCCTTATGGCCAAGGAAAGTTACACAAGTTTTGGCATCCTTTCTAATTTCTAACAAGGCACCTTAGTTCTTTATGAACCCTACTGGCCCCACCCCACTCCCTCAAAGTCCATCAGTGCTTCACTGTAGTGGGGAGGCATCCACGGTGTCTTGCTGTAGCCAGCAGACCCTAGGTGCTGGCCAATCCTACCAAGCTGGAAGGGTTGTAATATTCCTCACTGGAGGAAGGAGACACACTGATGGAATTGGGAAGTATCCGAAGTACATCATTTGCATATACCCTTTTTGATGTTACATGGGCGAGAATTTTTTTTTTTTGAAAGAAAGAAAAAAGCCACACCAGTTGGAATATGCCTATTTTATTAACATCATGCTTTAATAAATAACTGGCTACATCTAATAAAATTAAGCCTCTGTTTACAACAGCCCCAAATATTCCATTTTCCCCATTTTGCAGACATTTAGTGTAAAACGGTGAATGAAATGTTGACCCTGAGCTATCAAGTAATTATGCTTCAATATAAAAATAGAGAATTATTCTCACATGACCGAAGGTATGCACAATGACCAACAAACCTCTTTCTAGGTTCTAGATTCTGTATCATTGGTTAGGTTCCTAATGGGTGTCGAAAACTGGAAGAGACTTGGAGATCATGTTTAGTCTTTGTGCGGACTTGCTAACTACTTTGAAGGTGATCTGTTATGTCTTTCATATTCTTATGAGTTGCCACACGGCCTTCGCTCAGATTTAGGGATGAGAAGAAAGGATTCTTCTGGAGCCAAGGCTGTGATTATTGTATTGAGGGGCCAAGAGAAAGAAGAGCCTTTCCCAAGGTGCCCTAAGGACTGCAGATCACCTGTGAGGTGTGGTCTGGCGGCTCTACCTATTCTCCAGAACTGGGCACTAAGGTCTTGCTAAAATGGTTTCAGATTTGTTGGCTGCAACACGGCTGCTGTACCGTACCACTGGCTTATTAATCAGAGGGCCAGGGCAGTGTAGAGGGGGGGAAACCCTCAAATAAGCCACCTTACAATCTCTGAGAATGAAGCTCTCTCAATGAAATTCATACAAGCATTTGCAACTGAATGCTGACTGCTGCCGCCCCCAAGCCATGCTGCTTCAAGGTCAAGGTTGTGGGCTCAATTCTTACTAAAGATCAGAGAGATAGCCTTGCCTTATTCCCTCATCCTGCACTGGATTAGGGAGGTTCCCCCTTATTGTTGCTAGCCATATATAAAACACATGCCCCTGGTCTAGAGGGGGATGGGGAGGGAATGAGCCTGTGGCAAGACCATCCCTCCTCTAGCATGCCCTCCTGATACAGCAGCAGGGGTTCTGCAAGGCCATGTGACTGCATTTGTCACTTGTCCGTGTTGGTGCACCCCCCCCCCCCCCAATCTGAGGTTTAGACACACTGGACATACTGAACGCCTTAAGCTTTTGAAGGGAGAACTATCTGGAACTGTGACGAGAACTATCTTGATCCTTCCACTTGGCTAGCACCCTCATCTGAAAATTATTGTATTTACTTGTCCATGAAGTTACCTCCCCCCAAACCCCACAACTGACTGTAAACTCCTTAAGGGCAGGGGCTGGTTCACTTTTGCCTGGTATCCCCAGTGTCTCCCACTGGCATCTAGCACATAATAGGTGCCTAGTAAATGCTTGTTGAATTGAATTGAGATCGGATGTGAAAACTTCAGTGAGTTTCATTTAATTACAAGAGATTTCAGGGAATGGCCCACAGATCTTAGCTTATGCAAAACTGGGGCTCAGCAGCCTCTTCCAATAACCAGCTATAAATGAAGTCTATATAACCTGTTCCTGGCATTAATGCTTTATACAATCGGGCATATGGCTCCCTAGCCAATGATGCCTTCACATTTGGCTCTACTGTATAATAGAAAACAAATTACCTTCCACTTCTCTCCAGATAAAGCAACTACCATAATGTGGCTAAATGGAAATGTTGCTGTGTAAAACATCTTTCTGCTGGCCGGGTGGTTTTTTTTTTTTTGTTTTGTTTCATTCTGAATACGCTAAGTAAAACCTGCCCCTGTACTGCGAGTGCAGATTTCCAAAAGGCAGGCTTGTCTCATGCCAAGAGGGGACCCTGGTTTTCTTTTAAGAAACACAGTGAGATCTTAAATGGAAAGAAAGGGAAGAAAAAAAAAGAAACAAACGACCCCACAAACAAAACAAAAAACCAATAGAGTGATTCAAACAAATGCACAGCTAGCTACAGCTTGGTATATACACTTTGTCAGCCACGTTGAACAATGCTTCTTGGGTGGGCGGGACTGACTCTGAGTCTAAGTCCTCTTTTCACCCTCCCAAAACAGTGAATGAAAAAACCAGGTTGCCATTTTAATTAAACCAATGGCCATAAAAGTAAAAACTGTACACGGTTGTCCATTAATTTAAAAAGCCAAGTCACTAGGATGGCATAAAAAGTGAAAACTGGCGTGCTTTTTAGCATGGGTAGTGAAAGTCTGTTGTTCAAAGTGGTTGAATTATCTCCATTGTCTTTGCATAGCCAAGAACAAGAGGCAAAGAGCCTGGGCAGCATGCGACCAGCAAATGGTGCTGGCAGCCGAATTTTCGACCGCATTTTTACCATTAACCACTGTTTTCCCCACGCTGTCAGTCACGTTGAACTCAAACTCTGAAGGGCAATTCTGATATTCGCAGCCGCTACCACTGCCTTCACCACTGCTTTCATCACCTAGGAGGAACAAAATACACAGGGTTGTTGGGGCTTCTCTTTGCCATGAAAGGTATCCACCAGCAACCCATGACCAAAGCAACCTACTAATATCGATGAAGTCCACGTCATTCCCATTGTAGGCATTCTTCATTTTGCTGGTCATTATCTGGAGGGACATGATTTGGCGGCGGATCACCATGTCTGGCTTGGTGATGTCAACTTCAACCTCAGGATTATTTCCCTGATTGGCTAATCCGTTTCCAGTCACTGCTAAGAGATACCTAAAATGAAAGTCAATCTCAGTTGAGAGAAACAGTAAAGTATAGGAGTCCACATGATCAAGTCATGCTAAGCTTATTGATAACTATCAGCTTGTACCTGGATCTTCTTTCTTTCAAAAGTCTTTCCCCTCTCCCCAAAACAAAAGTGAAAAAAAATTATACATATTTATATATAATGTTATATATGTGTTTGTGTAATTACATATGTGTATATATACATATATGTATATGTGTGTGCATATATAATATATATATATATATATATATAAACCAGAGCACAGAAATCTGATTATCTACATTAACATTTCTATAGACTCTTTTAAGGTTTCTGAAATATGTTCCTTCAAGCCTATAAAGTAAATAGTGCAAATATTATCATCCCCATTTTACAGAGGGGGCTTAAAAGGTTAAAAGAATTGCCCAGGGTTATATAAGTAAGTGAACATGGAAGCCAGGATTAAAATTCAGGTCTCTCCTGACTCTAAGCCCACCCAGTGCTCTTTTGATTATCACAGAGCCTACCTTTTGGAGCCTTATTTTAAGGTATGCCCCCTTTGCACACTGTACATTCCAACCCACCTTGACAGAAAACTCACTGCTCCCAGATCCTGTCTTGATTCTGCCATGCATCTGCATGGGCCAAACCCCATGCAATAGATTCCCCACCTACATGCCTGTCTATTTGAACCACCTACCTCCTTCAACGTGCAGCTCAGGTTCTGTCTCTTTATGAATCCTTCTCTAATCTCCTCCAAACTGACATCAGTTCCTCCTTGCTTGGATTTCTCAGCCCTTCCACCTACTTTGTGGGCAAATCTTCCCTCCCCGCCCCCAGCTCCTTCCCCACTAGAATGTGAGCTCTTTGAGGTCAGGGACATGTCATTTCTTTGCTCATCTTCCTCTGGCACCTGAGTGCAGGGTCCTGAATATAGTAGTGTCTTAATAAACTTCTGCTGAATTGAACTTGCTCTTTGCTCTTAAATCCAGACACCAATCCATAGGCACTTACTACCTGTGGAACTATAGTCAAGTGGCTTCACTGATCTGAGCCACAGTTTCCCCATCTGTAAAATGAGGATAATACCTGCCTTTACCTAATGTGTGGAAAATGCTCTGGATGCATTTTTGTTCCACCATTTTTTCAGTCATGTTGGACTCTTCATGACCCCTTGTGGGGTTTTCTCAGAAAAGATACTGGAGTGATTTGCCATTTCCTTCTCCAGCTCATTTTACAGATGAGGAAACTGAGGCAACCAGGGTGAAGTATACTTACAAGAGCTATAGACATGGGAACCATTATTATGACTACTTCTAGGGATGGCTTCAAAGTTCGTCTGCCTGTAACCTGGCCAAACCTCTCCCCCAAACCTCCCCCCCCCAAAACAAAAGCTGGGCCCTTGTGTGTGCCCATCCCAACCTGCTCTTTGCATTTCCATTCCAGCATTCGTCCTCACTGATATGCTCAGGTGCCATCTTCTCATCGTTACACATGGTGCTCGGGAGGGAGGACCAGAACTTTTTGGCCTGCTTTAATTTCTCCTTGACATCTGTAACCTGGTAAAAACAAGTTCTCGGTGTGAATCACACCACCACCCTCTCCTCCCCCTAATACCATATGGGGAAAAACACCCCTGGAGAAAATCAAATCCAATCTCAAAAGCTTTTAGGCTGGGTGAAAATCATAAAGCTAGCATGAGGAGGAAATAACCATCACGTTGATGCTTTCATTAGCACCCCTGAGATGTAGGATCAAGTGAAACATACTGTGATTGCTATCATCAGGAAGGAAAGAAGGAAGGAGGGAGGGAAGGAAGGGAGGAAAGAAGGAATTGTTGCTGGTGGACGATTAAGCTAACCTCAGGGTAGCCAATTTTAACTTTGGTGCTATTAGGTGGCTATGGTCATTTGGACCAGTTTATTGGATAAAATTTAGAGTTGAAAGGAAGCTCAATCTTGTATGGAGCACTGGACTTATGGAAGGACCTGGAGAAGACTGGAGGGGGTAGGGGGACAGGAATATGTTAGCTATCTAAGCATCTGAAGGGATTTCACAAAGAAGTATGATTAGATTTGTTCTGCTTGGCCCCAGAGGGTAAAAGACGCAAAGTGGCAGATTTGAAGTTAGCTGTAAGGAAAATCTTAACAAGAACTGTCCAAAGGAGGAATGGGCTGATTTGGGAGGTAGTAGCTTCTTACTAACTGGGATGTTGTTAAGCAAACACTGGGCAACCATTTTAGGGAGAGGGATGTCATAGAGGACATTGCTATTCAGCCTCTTCAGGTATTAGATGAAGTTTCCCTGCTGTGGGCCAAAATCTCTATGGGCCTCAGTGGTGATGGGTCTGAGTTTTCCTGCCCTGTGCATCTTGTTTGCTGTGGCCACATACTTGGCATTTCTCCTGGTGGTAGGGCCAATCTTCCACTAAAGACTAAGTCTATAGTGACAAGGCCATTGAGATATATCTTGGCCTATATTTCTGATCTAGAGATCATGTGAGCCTGCATCCCCAGGGCCAGGTTAGAGAGTTCCTGACACATGATGCTGGGAGTTTGAAGACATTATAAAGTCTGCCACATCAAAGTTTCCCCTGTGACTTTTTAAATGAGATAGAAACAGTAAGGAGGGGCAGCCTCCTTGACCCCGCTGCTCCCACACAATTTCCTGAAAATAGCTCCTTGCTTCTTAAGCTCGAGGAACAAATAATCTGGTGAGGTCCAACTTACTACCTACTATATATCCATTTTCATTCACCTGGATAGCCTCATGGATACCCAGCTGGTAAACCCCTACTCACCAGTCTGTCCAAGCTTGTGCCGGCAGCCGTGGTGGGTCGTTCCTCTGGATTATATGGCCGAAAGCGGGCACTGAAGCCACTTTCAGGAACCGAACGAGAGGCTCGGCCTGCTGGGAGGGGCTTGGGGAGTCCACAACCTTGGAAAACCTGCATCAGATGGATCACAGTCATGTTAGGAGAGGGGACGAAGTCTCCTGAGGAACATGCAAACTATCTCCCCACCACCTAGGCATCCATCCTGGCCTCGTTACCTTCTGAGACACCTGCACGCTATTTTCCTGCATGTTCATGATGGCATCAGAAATCTTCACATCAATGGGATCCATAACTGACTCGATGTTAAAGGGCCCCTCGAGTCTCTCTGCTACCATCAACATGGCATCTAGGCAGGGAAGAGAACACAGGGTAAAAAAAATCAGCAGCATAGGCCTCTGGCAACCAATCTAGATTTTAAATATGTGTGTGAGATGATATATTATATATATAATTACTATCTCTCTTTTCTGGAAAAGAAGCACTCATACACTGTACTTTATTCAGTTATGCTTTCACATTCTTTCCATGTAACAAATAAGTATATCACATCTCTCCAAATGCTCATGTTTCTTCAAGACAGCTCACTCTCTAAAGGGGAGACATGGCCAAAAGAACACTTGGTTCTCCCCCATCGAGGCCACCCACGATTGGGCATCTTCCAAGTGCTGTCATGTTAAGAAGTTGCCAGGGACCGCACGGCTGACAAGCCAAGGGCCATGCCCCGATGTAAGACACAGCAGCTGATTCCCCACAATTCCCTGGGGGGCTCGGTGGACCTTGGAGGTACAGACGCTCATTCAGATTGCAAGGTTCAGAAACATGAAGCTGGAAGCTAGGACCTGGGACCTGTGGACTCGGAGGTTTGACTTAGAGGTGAAGGGCTAGGAAGTTCTGGCTGAGGATGAGAAGATGCAGAAATGAAAGTCAGACTGGAAGGTCTCCTTGAAATTTTAAAGAAGGAAAAAAGCAATTTCTGTTTCTAGTGGGGGAAAAAAGGACAATACTAACAGCAGTTCATCTTCAGATAAGGCTTTAAAGGTTTACAAAAACCCATTCCTTTGCTCTTTAGTGTCAGGGCTGGCTATTTCTCTCTCTCTCTCTCTCTCTCTCTCTCTCTCTCTCTCTCTCTCTCT